TTGACATCCGGCCAAGATTTTGTGTTTCAGCAAGATGGTGCAGCGTGCCATACCTCAAAAAAGACTATAAAATGGATGGAAGAAAATAATGTACCGCTTTTGAAATGGGTACTCAATGAAACAAGAAAGTTATTGCGAATTCTATTTTTTTGCAGGTTGAACAACAAAAACATATTTGACTATGAATGTATGGATATCAAAAATCCTGATTAGTTTTGTAGGAATATCAATAGACGGTGCTATAATGGTAATGATGAACGGCAAGTAAATGAATGAATGTTTGGAAACGAGCAATATCTATGAAATTATCTGCTTGATTGTTGATGGACTGATTCATGGAGTGCCTCGGTATAGGCTAGATTGAGGTAGCACTTAGTTTTTTTACAACTATCTCGATCATCGTTGTTAAATGCATCAATGTCCGAATGCCGAAAAAACAATACAATCAATCGAGGTGAAGAAAAAGGTCGACACGGCATTTCTCTAAACGAAGGAAACAAATCGTCGGCTTCGCACGCTGTGGGTAGAGGTGAACGATAAATCAACGGCTCAGCTGCTAACACAAAACATTTTTTTATTCTAGGAATGGCATAGAAAGGTTCGCCTGTTTGGATCCTGCAAAAGGTAGAAGCTTGCTTCTTCTCTGGTGGTGGTTAAACTTTGAATAGGGTCACACACACACACGTTGATACATGCATCTATAATAAAATTGTGACAGATCTCAAGCCATTTTATTTTGTTATTATAGTATGGTGGCATACAGTACATATTAATATGACACTGGAAAGGCTAGCCATTGAAAAATACAGTATTTCACAAATTTGAAAAAGAGATAATAGATAAAGCGAAAAATAGGTAATAACAATGTGATTCAAGTTTACTGTCTACTGTATAGTCGTGATAATATACGGTACAAAGTTCTTCCTTGTTACGTGAGCAGTTTTTTGGCAAATGCAATTACTGTTATGAATACATTTATTACACTATTAAAAAGTACAATTTCTACCCTATTTATACGCTGTTTAGTGGAACAAGGTATTTCAAATTGCTGATCTCAAACTCGAAGTCATTTTATCTCTATGAGAGCATTTGAAAATTACTTCAAGGTCATATCAATAACATTTGCAGAAGAAGCCGAGGTGTTGAGCACACCCTCGTTTCACTTTTCTGGTGTATAAGTCCAAATTCAGGGGTCAGTCAGTCAGTACTTAGGCATCTGAAGGCTATTTCCGTTCTCATTCAAGAACTAATTCAGGACTGTGATCTATTTTGTAAAGGGCTGTTGCTGTTGAGTAGTGTATAAATAATAATAATAATAATAATAATAATAATAATAATAATAATAATAATAATAATAATAATAATAATAATAATAATAATAATAATAATTTTTATTGGAATGTTTATACATAAAAATATAAAAACGACAACATTCCAAAAGGAAAGAGGATTGGCAGGGCCATTTTTCACCTCCCCCTAAAAAGTTAACTTCATGAGCGTTTTTTAACATCAACAGAATGATTAGTATTCACAACAAATATTATGCACAACACAGTATATATACGTAATACGATGAATAAATGAATAAATAAGTCTAGAATTCGCATGTCATGTAAGTTTTTGCGGTCGTTAAGTCAAAATTAGAGACTATTTCATCTTTAAGAAGGCATTCTCTCAAAGGGTAAATTTGAAAAAGTCAACCGTATCCGTGCAATAGTATGGCGGCAGCATGTAAGGTTATATTTCCCTATAGTTTGTGAAAATAGGCAAAAAGAGACATTAGATTTTGTCTGCCAGTATTTAAAGGTTCACAAATGTAACTTAAACTAGTAGCGACAAAGGGCGGAACCTTATTGCAAACCTGTTTGAATAATACTAATATGAAGAAGTAAAGCTAAAAGTAGTAATCAGTCTCACGGTCTACAGGTACATAAAAACAACAGCAATCACAGTTTTCTGTTACATCGAATGAAAGTTCATACTCTCTCTATTATGACCGACATCCCGATGTTCGAATATTTTCAAAACACAACACAACGGATAATAAAAAACTTTCCAATTTTGGTGTTGAAAATTAGTGGCAAATAACCTGAAATTTCAAGTTTAATGCAATGTCAATTCAATAGCCAATTTATCGTTTAAAATATTAATTTTGAAATAGGAAATTATTTTCATTCATTTCCGATACTTTTTTTTTCAATTTTTGCCCAGTATTCGAATACTGTGCGGTTATATACGTATGTCTGTACTATGCTGATCTTAACATCGAATTGCCCTGGTTGAACATGGGATGAGTTACTTTTATCAAATAAGAAACAAATTCACCTCTGAGGGCGAGAGAAAATTGACGTACAGAGTGGCTGAATGTGCCCTAACACAAAAATTTCGGACACTTAAGGAGAAATACTTTAAAAACAATTAATTTTATATCAAAAATTGTCCTCATGATTTAGTCGAATCTTACACCTAGAAAAACTGAAATTTTTACACTTAACTACATTATAATACCTACATTATTTAACGTCTTTGTAGTTACTCATTTGTATTTTTTCCATTCTCATGTAAAACCCAAGCACAAGTCCAACTTCTTTGGGTATTGTATATTTATTGTAAGATAACGATTTTTGCATCTACATTACTCAAATAAACATTAAAACGAAGCAGACGCATTTACTGGCAGCTCAGTTTTTTTTGGAAAAACGCTCAGACCCGTCGATTTTGTTTTCGAGGGGAACACAAGTTTGGCAAAAAATCACGTTAACACGTGTAGCCCCCTGGGCGGGGGTGACACCAACCCTAAAATCTTAAATTTAAAGGGGGATCGAGTGATACCTTATTATAAAGGTCTTTCAATTCCCTTTAAAATGATGTAAAATACATGAGCTTCAGTTCAGTGGTTTTGAAAATTTCTTGATTTAAAGCTTAAAGTTGACTTTCATAGGAACATCAGATTAGTTTGTACTACTTTCAGAAGAAATTTGACTAAAAGAATTTACTTAATAAGTAAATGCTTTTCTTCACTACGCCCATGGTTTGTTTGTCATTTTGTTGTTGAAAATAGCTATTGGAGCGTTTTTTTGTAGCAAAAAAAGTTATTTCTTGAAGAAAGATAAGGAAATGTCTCGTACTTATTTTAAATAGGAATTTAGTACATAGTTTACGATCGATTTGACCAAACTTTGTTGCTAAAATAACTTGTAACGCTTTATTACATAAATTAACCATGGTATATTCCACAGCAGAAAGAGTTGAAATTATCGAAATATTTTTCGGAAATAATCAGTGCGCTAATAGAACAGCAGAAATATTTAATGAGCGACATGAGAACAGTGAAGTACATCGAAAATATGTTATACAACTTGTAGCTAAATTTCGGGAAACTGGGTCTGTCGCCAATAAAAACGCAACATTGAAAATCCCATAAGGAACGAAGCAATAGAAGTGGAGGTTTTAGGGAAGTTTATGTAGATCCTACGTTAAGTACCCGCAAATTGGAGACTGTGTGGTGTTAGTGGACGTACTGTCCAACCGATTCTAAAGGCCCATAGTTCTCATCCGTATAAAATTCACCTGGTACAAGAACTTAATGAAGACTATTTTGATCGGCGATTACAATTTTGTGAAGATATGAGTGAACGAATTATAAACAATGAACATTTTCTATGCAACACTTGCTTTTCCGACGAATGTTCTTTTTTCTTCAATGGCGTAGTAAATCGTCATAACTGCCGATATTGGTCCGATTCTAATCCTAGAATTTATCATGAGGGTCATACACAGCAGCCGCAAAAATTAAATGTTTGGGCTGGTATTTTTGGGGATCATTTAGTTGGTCCTCTTTTCTTACCTGGAAATTTTACCGGTGAAATGTATTTGGAATTACTGGAAGACGCCATAGATCCTGCATTAACAGCCATAATTGAAAATCAGAATAATCGCCGGTACATTACAAATAGATCGATGTTCCAACAGGATGGTGCCCCACCACATTACGCATTACGTGTTCGATAATATTTAGATCAGACGTTTCCAGATCGATGGATTGGTAGAATATGTGCCATTGAATGGCCCCCAAGATCGCCAGATTTATCACCTTTGGATTTCTTTGTGTGGAGTCATTTAAAAAGCAAAATCTATGCTACTCAGCCAACACCATTAGAAGACCTGCGACAAAGAATTGTGAATGAGTGCCTTCAAATTACTCCACAAATATTGCAAAATGTGCGGCAACGTTTTGAGCAAAATCTTTATTATTGCATGGAGAGTCATGGTGGCCATTTTCAACATTTACTTGCCTAACGGGTCAGTTCATCCTTCGTTTTTAAATTACCTTGCTGCCAAATGTATTGATCTCCACTAATCATGATGTATTAGCTTTATTTAAGCTTTAAATCAATAAATCTTCCAAACTACTGAACTGAAGTACATTAATTATATATCATTATAAAGGGAATTGAAAGACCTTTAAAATAAGGTATCACTCGACCCCCCTTTCCGTTTAAGATTTTGGGGATGGTGTCACCCCCGCCTAGGGGGCTGCACGTGCTAACCTGATTTTTTGATAAACTTGTGTCCCCGTCGAAAGCAAAGTCGACGGGTCTGAACGTTTTTCCAAAAAAAAAAACTGAGCTGCCAGTAAATGCGTCTGTTCCGTTTTCGGTGCGCCACCCTGTATATTGTTTTCAAGTAAAATTATATTGAAGTAGAAAATAAAACTAATATTGATAACAACGCAAGATTTAGCGGACACATAAATCTTCAGACACGATATTAAAAAGAGAATAATAGCATGCCATGGAAAGAAAAAAGTGTTTACAATTTGACGTTTTGATTCAAGAATCAATTGTGTGTATCAGCTTGCTTTAAAATGTTGCGTGGTAAAGCATCAAACGGTGCAATCGGAGCTTTAATTATAAAATTATTTCATCAAGCAAAGAATTTTCGGGATATAAACGAATAAATGTCGCAAAGTCTACGGTGGCAAATATTATAAAAAAAGTATGAAGGCTTCAACTCAAGTTTCAAGACCAGGTATTGGTAGGCCACGTAAGGTCAGTCCTAGAATGTAAATATCTCTTGTTTGTATTTGTAAGGCCGACGTACTGTAACAACAAAATGAAATGAAGAAACAGCAGGAAGTGGTCCACGAGAAATGTGACGTCGGTGAAATTATGAGCCTGGTTTACATTTTTATAAGGTACGTATGTTGCATTTAAGCGACATATGGCATATTTATTGACTAAAATCTTTGCTTTAGGCAAAAGAAAAGCCGTTGCTTACGGCAAAACAATTTTAGTGTGGGTAAAAGAACTGGCAATGTTGACTTACGAATACTGGAAGAACATCATTTTATGCGACGAATCGAAATTTGATGCTTGTGTGGTAACCACCGATAAAAAACAAAAATGAAGCGTTTTATGAGACTGCTCAAAGAGAAAAGTAAATTTTCAATCAAGTTAATGGTATGGGGAAGCATAATATCTGCTTTTGGCGTTGGAAAACTTCACTTCACAGACGGAACTGTAAGCGCAGCTAAATTTAAAAATGTCAATTCCAATTTTATCACCAGATAGAAACTTAATTTTCCAATAAGATGGGTCATCGTTTCATACGGTCAAAACCACAAAGAAACAATAATAATAATAATAATAATAATAATAATAATAATAATAATAATAATAATAATAAATGGCCTTTATTTTACCTGGCGGATTACATCAGCACAAGCTGTTTTTCAGAACCAACCAGGCCTAAAAAAAATTCAAGTACATGCAAATACAAAAAAAATACAGTGAAGATAATAAGAAAATTTAAAGCAGAAAACATTTTTTTTACAGAATCGTAGCCTAAGCATGGTATAATGACCAAGAGACCAAAAGAGAAACGTGCAGCAACAGAGTACGTAGCAGAATCAAAAACCGTGATTAGAAGTAACTTTAAAAAAAGAAAATATTAGGTATATAGCGGAAGATATAAAAATTAAAAGTAAACAGTAACAAATGTGTAAACAAAACACAAACAAATGAAAAGTGACGAGTGAGAAAACATGCACAAATAAACAAATATAAAAATAAAATTACATAAAAATACATGCTACGTGTCATCAAAAAAAAATACATGCTACATGTCATCAAAGACAAAGAGCCTAACTTTTCTTTTAAGGCTGGACACAGATAGAGTTTCCAAAGCTTGAGGTACTTTATTGTAGAAATCGGGCGCTACAGATGAAAAGCTCTTTCTGAATTGGGTTGTTCGGTGCCAAGGCAAGTCAAGAGTATATCCTACAAAACGCAGGTTCGCTGAGTGATGATCACATCTCATGGTAAGCTTGTTCTTCAAATAAAGAGGCATTTTATTTATCAGAATACTGAGGACCAATGATAATAGATGCAGTATCCACCTTTGTCTGATAGTAAGCCATTGAATATTTTTAATATGATCAGATACCCTCTCCCGCCTTTGAATACCTAAACTGAATCTTATGCAGCCGTTTTGCACTTTTTGAAGTGAAATGGTTGCAGAATAATAATATTTATGTTCTTGACTGGCGTTCCAGTAGTCCTAATTTAAATATTATCGAAACTGTATAGCACAAAATCAAGCAGCAGTTAAGATATCATCCATAACAAAATATTTCTGATTTACAAGTAAAATTACTAAATGTATGGGATTCTTTTAAGGCAAAAGACTGCGAAAACCTTATTAAAACTATGCAAGCCAGAATTAATGCTATTATCAAGGCAAAAGGAAACGTAGCGAGCTATTGAAACGGTTCGCCTGAACATTTATGTGCAAGCTAAATATTGTTATTATAAATATTAGTTTAGTTTTATAATTTAATATCATGTTACCTGATAATAATTTTGTTGAAATGATGTCCAAGCAATATATATCAATATCTTATAAAAGAAAAAGTTATTTTGCAGCCTTAAAAAAGTAAATAAACCTTAAGATAAAATTAGATGTCCGAACTGTTTTGTGTTAGGGCTCGCAGTTGCATTCACTGTCTGTTATGAAAACCTCTTATACACAAAAGTAAAATCAAGACCACGGAAGAATGTCTATTCAATTCGATGTACCGGCCTTTAAAAAGCATTCCAAACCTCTTTCGGAGTAGTTCTGCAAGATTTGCCAGAATATTATCCCTCTGAAGAGGCTATCAAGAGAGTTGTCCAGAACGTCCTACTTTTCTAAAGTGCTTTTCAAATCTCAAGTTCCTGATTGTCTGCTACATCGTTACGTAGTTCTTTGTAACGAGAATCAGGTATATTTTCCTGGTGCTTCAATAAAAAAGAAAGCTCCTGAGTTTCCCGATTCTGGTCGTTCTACCTTATTTTCTCCGTTAAGAGCTTTCCTGGACGGGTGCATTGAAAGTGGGAGAAAAGGTAGATGGCAAGTTCATTAGATTTCTTCGCTGATTATGAGACAATTGTATCGGGTACCCTCAAGGTAGATTAACTCAAGTTCGTATTAGTCCGGGTATTTCAGTAACATTCAGAATACCCGAAGGGAGCTGACGTTTTCATCGTGATGGACCTACATCATAATCAATAATGATGAACCACCATTTCATTAATAATAGTCAGCGTGATTTCCGCTAGTTGTGACCTCAATATTTTCTGAAGAGGTCATATATTACGAGGTCTTTTAATTTTGCATATAGAAACATAGTTGGCCGCGCGGATCGAACGTCAGTACTGAATCTTAACCTCACTCTTTCGTAAACTTAAATTCAAAGTTTCACAACAATACGTGCAGTGTTCTCACTACAGTGAATTTTTAAGTGACACCAAGTCATTAGAACAATGGAACTCAACCGAGAACATTTTCGCGCCATAATTTATTACAACTTTCACAGACAATTATCGCAACAAGGATGCCTTGCTGAGTTACTGTCTGTTTTCGGCAACGAAGCGCCACATCAGTCGACAATTTCCCGTTGATATGGAGAATTCAAATGTGGACAAGTGAGTCTTAGGCCCGTATCGTCAGTCGTCCCTACAATTGTAGGGCGCCTTTAAGACCCCGAAAGAAGAATCATCCTCCACCAAGACAATGGAAGCTCGCACACAGCCCAAAAAACAAGGCAGTATTTAACGGAAGAAAACGTGGAATTATAGGACCATCCTCCACATAGTCTCGATCTAAGTCCTAACGATTTCTTTACTTTCCCGAAAATTAAAAACAGACTGCGTGGTCAAAGGTTCCAGTCACCAGCAGAAGCAGTTGACGCATTCAAAAATGCCGTTTTGGATCTGCCAGCAAAAGAGTGGAATAGGTGCTTCGAAAATTGCTTCGAGCGCATGCAGATGTGTATTAATCTTCGTGGAAAATACTTCGAAAAACAATAAAGTCATTTAAAACTACCTACCGTGTTGTTTTATTTACACATGCAAAACTTAAAAGACATCCCTCGTATATTCTTACCGGACAACAAAGTTCAATAAATCGGGCTGTTATATTAAGTGACATAGAAAATGCAACACCGTCTAGGAGCGCTGTAATTTTGAGCATACTTTTACTATGTTTTAGGTCTACTGATGAATAGAAAGTGATTAAAATTTTAACTTCAAGTTTCGCAAAATAGCTCCTTAGTGTTAATAAATAGACAATAGACCAAAGAGTCGCACGGAAGGATCGTTATTGATGCAGTCACAAGAAATCTAACCTAATAATGAGCCGTATTCATAAAAGTGAATCATATCCTCGGAGGCATAAGGTAAAAGTATAAGCATATCCTTGTTTTCATATTCATAATGATTACCTTATACTCGCGAGGATATCCTCCAAGAAGAAGTGAAAGGTTGACTGGTATTTGTATCTTGAGCGACATGTCGTGACTTGTTCCAGCTTGTAGTTGACGTGGGAAATCGTTCACTTAGCGTCACTGACAGTTGAACTCCAGGACTTACTCAGACCGTTCCATATTTTTACTGGATACAGTTTTTTATCAAATTAATAAGCATATTAATTGATATTGTACAAAGAAGAGATACCATTTGGAGAACAACACGACCTATTTGATTTTTGCTACATTTTTGATGGTTAGTATTTAAGATTGTATTTTTATGCCTCTTGTTAGACGATCTTCTAGAAAGAGTTCATACTACCCTTACACTTATCCACGTTCAAGTTCTAGTTCTACTGATTCTTCTCTTGACCAAAATATTTCAAAGTCTGAAACCACAATGGCACAACCAAATGGTAATTAATGCTTGAACTACGATTCACAAGTCTTAAAGACTCTCTGCCAAAATTTGCTCCTAACCAAAACAATTTGTCTACCTTTATCCGAGAAAGTGAGTATTTATTAACTTACGAAAAGAATTATTATTGTTCTGACATTATTAAACTAAGTAATCAACTGTATGTTTGTAAAAGTACTTTCCAGTCTCCCCGTCAACCACAGGGGTTCGACATGTGTGAGTCTGAAACCGTAACAAACTACACGAGAATATTAGAATTAAAGAAAAATAATTATGTAATTGATACTAATCACCTAACAAAGATAAGACACTGTAAAGCTACTTCTTTTATACATTATGCGACACATATTATTTTAGAATGTAATACCTTAAATAGTCATAAAACTTTAGAATTTGATTCCACATTTCAGATTAAGTTAGACCTAGGTTATGCAGCAAAAGGCACGCAATATCAGTTTCAGAAAACAAATGTTTCACTGGAATCTTATTTACATCAAAACCTTACCTCTTTGCAAGTCAGCTTTCAGAATTTACATTATAGATCTACTGTAAAGTATCCTATCATTTTAGTTTGTATTCTTATATTTTTAATCATTTTTATTATTGTATCTGTAAAATATCGATATGTAAAAGACACCAAAGTTCCACCCACAACTCCAATTTCTAAACCCGCTGAGTAAACACGTTTAGCTTAATTTTGTCTGATTCGAGACGAATCTTTTTCACCGTGGGGAGGAGTTATAGTATTCTGATGCCACTACCTTAAAGCATTTACACCATTCAAGTCCCTACGAGTATAACACCGTCCCATACTCGAGAGACAGGATGTGAAGATGCTTGCATCTTTACTCGACACTACTGATTGCTGGAAAATTCGTAACTCTAATCCTAGAATATAAAAAGGGTCTTTGACTATTCTCTGTACTCATTTCGTTACTTGTTCTTCTGTTCTCAACTGTTGCTGATGCCTCAATAAAAGCTACTCTACAAAAGTTACTGAAGTATTTCTCTAACATCCTTTGGCGATTATAAGAGAAATAGGAACGCGAGAGATAATTCCTTAGTGCAATCAATCACCCACGATCCACACGTATTTAATTTGTATGGCATTACTTAGACATTGTCTTTCCTGAGGGTTGAATAGACAGACGCGGACACATACAGTAGCCTCCAAGGTCACCCGATTTAAATCCTCTAGATTTTTTTCTATAGCGGTTTTATAAGAGGATAATCTATATGTCTGAATATACAAATGTCAACCAAGTGAGTCAGAAAATTGATGAAGCAAAAATAAAAATTATGATAAATGAAACAATGAAAAGTGAGTAGAAGTGAGATGGATCCAAACAAGTGGGAAAAAGTGAGTCGCCGACATCACTGCTATACAGGGTGTTTCCGTTTATTGTTGCATAACTTTGAGATTCGATAGAACTCCCAAAATTAATGCATAAAGTCTATATAAACATGGGTCGAAAAATGCGTGGCTTCCGAAATACAGGGTGTTTAAATTTACTTTCTAAAATAGTTTTTTTTAAATATTTCGAACAATATTTGATGTATAACAGTGAAAATTAGTATACGAGGGTTTTTTGGTACGACAAAATGAACCATGGGCATAGTTTTACTGTAGCCGCTAGAGGGCGCTCTCTACTGTACCTGTAGTGTATTAAAATGACCGAAAAAATTTTCTTAGTGCAACTTTTTGCTTTTTGAATAAAAAAACTGATTCTTCACACTTTTCTGCATAAAAAAGCTTTCTTGTGAGTTTTCGTTATAGTTAGCCGTTTTTGGGATATTTCGATTTTTAAGTTTCGATGCATTTTTAAGCATTTATAGGAAAATAATATTTTTTTTACATTTTCGATTTGGGCATTACAAGTAATTAAGATGATCGTTTATATTGTGTTTTTAAACACAGCAATAATTCCTAACTCCAAATAAACACAAAAAACAGAATATTAATTTGTTTAATTTTCCAATATTATTTTTAACAAATTAAATGAATATTGAATGGTATTGAATAGTTAGAACAAACATACAAAATCTAAAGTAGTTGCTCGAAATGTAAACCCAATTGTTCAATACACAATTCACATCTACGAATGATCGAACGTGGTATAGCATTATTCAAATAAGGCCTTATTTCAACACATGCATTCTTGATTCTGTCTATTAGCATATCTCTTGTGGTTACGGGAGTCTGGTACACTTTTTCTTTTAGAAAGCCCCACACAAAGAAATCTAATGGATTTAGGTCAGGGGATCGTGGAGGCCAGGCGACTGGTCCTCCACGGCCGATTCATCTTTCTGGATAATTTTCGTCCAGCCAGTTTCTAACTATTCTCGAATAATGAGCTGGACAACCATCAAGCTGGAACCAGGCCAATCTTCTAAAATCTAACATAACATCATCCCACATACTTGCATGTTAAGCCTTTAAAAATTCCAAGATGGTCGCAGCATTTAACCTTGCAGGCAAAAGGTGGGGTCCAAATAGTCGATTACGGTAGATACCAATCCACACGTTCACACTGAATTCATGCTGAAAATTTCTTTCCCGAACTGCATGCGGATTTTCATGCGACCAAATATGTTGATTATGAAAATTTTCCACTCCACATCTAGTGAAGCATGACTCATCGGTCCATAAAACGTTACTTAAAAACTCCCTATTATTATCAGTTCTATCCAGAATCCACTGACAAGATGTGATTCTTCGTTCTCCGTCCCCTGGCTGTAGTCCTTGCACAGGTTGCAAATGGTAAGGACGTCTATGGTCATTTCTAAGAACACGGTGAACATGGCTTGCTGAAATTCCCAAGGCACCAGAAACTCTCCTAACACTTGTGGTCGGATCTCTATCAAACTCACGCAGAATCATACGGGTAAATCTGCGCTGACGAACATTTATGTTTTGATCCCTTTGGAGATTTTCAAAACCATTTTCAATTATTTGGCGATGCACTCTTACAAATACTGAGCGAGTTGGATGTCGTCTGTTTGGAAATCTTCGTGCGTATTCTCTGGCTGCTTCTGCTACGTTTCCATTTACAAAGCCATACACAAAATGAATATCCGCTAACTCTTGATTGGAGAATATAAATGGCATTTTTATAAAACTTACAAAAAAACAGGTAAAAGAAACTAAATTTCGTGCATTCACAATTGCAAAAAAACGTTTCAGGTTTCAACAGACAACAAAACTAACTGTCAACTAATTGACGTTTAACCTTATTCTGCTTTCAATTTCAAAAATATTTGCAGGCACAGCCTACTTCTAAAAATTATTGAGATACTGACTTTTCAACGTTATTTTATCATAAATAATTAAAAATGCATCGAACCTTAAAAATCTAAATATCTCAAAAACGGCTAACTATAACGAAAATTCACTAGAGAGCTTTTTTATGTTGAAAAGTGCGAAGAATCATTTTTTTTATTCAAAAAGCAAAAAATTGCACTAAGAAATTTTTTTCGGTCATTTTAATACAGGTACAGTAGAGGGCGCCCTCTTAAAGTTATGCAACAATAAACTGAAACACCCTGTATATATACTCTTTGAAGTTGAGTCATTAATTTTCAGATAATGATTGTAGAAGGAAGATAAACCAAAATATGTGTGTAAAAATAAAAAAAAATTTTAAAAAAATTTTACCTTGTTTTATAAAGTATCCTCCCGACAGGTATTTCAGTGCGGACCTGTATTTGATCGTGAGGTCTTGGAGCACCGGCATGCCGTCCATATGTGAGGTCTTAAGTCAAATGATTCACGAACCCGTTGTACTACATTAACACAGGCACGAGGGGTTGGTTGCACTCGATTGGGAAACCGATCCGCATAAACATGTGCCATTTTTTATTTCGTTTGAGCCACGCAACAGACACCACTATCCACTACCGACTGACACTGACTGTATACAACTGAATGAAATAATTGTAAAAACATCGTTCCAAATTCTTTCGCTTTTTTGTTTCCGATGCGATGAACCGATAAGGCGAATTATATCCGTTGTCGCCAAACACGAGCACATAATATTATTATTGAGACAGGGCGGTACTCAAACTTCCAAAGGGCTATAACTTTGTTACTTTAATTTTACCAGAAAAATGGTAAAGGAAAAAAACATTTCTTTTGATCAGATCTACTCACTGTTAAAATAAATGACTCAACTTCGAAGTCACCCTGTATATAGTATATGAACCCACTGAACCTAAAACGTAAGGACCAGACGTGAGACATAAACAAGCGGATTTGAGTTGCCGCCTCATTACAATCTGTCATCATCATGCTTTGTAGCCCAAACAACGAAAACGCCGTCTGAGGAAAAGTCCAGAAGAAAGCCGCAGTGACTTTTATAATTTTTCAGATTATATCTGAGGCAGACAAATGAGATAAATGTGGAAAGCGTGGAAAGTGGGACGCCAAGGATTATTGCCGTTAAAAAACTGTAAGCTCCCTTTGTTCTAATATTGAAGAAGTGTCCCAAGGCACCGTTTGATGGAAGTGGGAGAGTTTTTTTATTTGTTCTTCGTCTTTTTCCAGTTTATAGAACATAAAAACATACAGAATAAATTAGTGTTTTTATAATAGTTTGGTTTTATCATTTTACAGCCAGGTACGAGAAAGTACAAGTAGAATAATGTATCATTACTCACGCATCCACGTTTCTCACACCGAACGATGATACTGCTCCTTGTTTGATAAGGTATCCGTTCTATGTGCGCTCTCAGAAAGCTGATAAGTGCCTTCGTAATGTATTAAAGCTCGAATAAGTTTGCTTCTATATTTTCAGGCGATTACATGATGAAATAAGAATTACACTGCACAACAAATTTTAGTTTTTTAATTGTATCTTGTGGGAAAAGTGCACTTCTGTTAATTTTGGGGCGCTGAATCCAAAAATGACAATGAAATAAAAAAAATTAGTTGCGGTTTAGAAAAAAAACTTTTTATTTTTAAGGATATATTAAAAAAAAGTAACAAGATTCATATACTTATAAGAATCACTATATGCGCTGTCTTTTTGCTGTTCTTTTATGGATCGTTTCTGGAGCATCTCTACCAAGAGTCCAACAGTAGTCTGCAAGCATGGAAGGATTCCACTTTCCCTGGTACCTTTTTTCCATTGTTGAAATATCCTGATGAAAACGTTCGCCGTGCCCATCACTTACGGCTCCGCAATTGTCAGGAAAAAAGTCCAGGTGTGAGTGTAGGAAATGTATCTTAAGAGACATATTACAGCCCATCTTTTGATACGATGACAGCATATTTTTGACAAGGGTTTTATAGTTGTCAGCTTTTCTATTTCCCAAGAAATTAGTGACCACCAGACGGAAATCATTCAAAGTAGTTTTTTCAATACCTGTTAAAGTGTTTTCATACTGTGTATCTTTCAAAATATTTCTAATCTGTGGCCCAACAAAAATACCTTCTTTAACCTTTGCCTCACTTAGTCTTGGAAATTTCTGACGCAGGTATTGAAAAGCTGACCCATCTCTATCTAATGCCTTGTCAAAGTTTTTCATTAGGCCCAACTTGATATGCAGTGGTGGTAATAAAATTTTTTTCGAATCTACTAATGGCATATGCTGTACATTTTTTTGACGTGGCTCTAGGAATTGACGAACAGGCCAGTTTTGTCTGGTGTAATGAAGTGCCTTTGCGCGACTGTCCCATTCACACAAAAAACAGCAAAACTTTGTGTAGCCTAGCTGCAGCCCAAGTAAAAGTGCAACAACTTTCAAATCGCCACAAATATGCCATTGGTGCTCATCGTATTTTATGCATGTCAATAGGTACTTCATATTGTCATATGATTCTTTCATGTGAACTGCATACCCTACAGGAAGAGATGGTAAAATATTTCCAATATGCAATAACACTGCCTTTAAACTCAATGTTGAACTGTCTATAAACAATCTCCATTCTTCTGGGTTATAGTTTATATTTAAAGCCGCCAGTAAGCCGTTAATGTTACTGCAGAAAACCGAGTTACTCTCCATATTGAAAAATGGTTCTAAGCCTCTGTGGCGTTTACGAAAAACACATACCGAAACACCGTCTTCTAACAAGTTCCACTGCTGCAGTCTTGATCCAAATAACTCTACCTTACATTTTGGAAGTTCTAAATCTCTTACAAGATCATTTAATTCTGACTGTGTTATTTTGTGCGGTTGGTGGCATGACGTGCTCGGTATAAAATCAGGATCTCTTGACGTTGATGGCATATCTTCTTCCTGACGAATCACTCGATCGCCATGATCTGATTCGTTTTCTGATTCGCAAGTGTAGGATTCTGGGGGTTTTGGAATAGGATTTTCGTCACTGTGAGTCACAGGTCTCATCGCAGATGGTATGTTTGGGTAGTTAATAACCGATTTTTTTTTCTTGGACATACTTGTGGCTTGTCCAACACAAGGTACCATGCAAAAGTAACAATCATTAATATGATTTGTAGGCTCTCTCCAAACCATTGGGACAGCAAAGCGCATAGACCGTTTTTTGCCATTTAACCAGCTCCTCAGACTTGAAGCACATGTATTACGCAGATGTGGGGTGCTCACTGTTTGTCTTGATCACCTAGTTTACAACCGAAATAAAGCTGATATGCCTTTGTTATTAGTGGAGTAATAGACCGTCTCTGAGACGCAAAAGTCACATCACCACACACGTAACAAAACTGATCTGGATTGTTTAGACACTTTCGAGACATCTTGCATGAACGCTGTCAGCCAACTGAGGAAAAAATGGCTGATATAAAACAATTTAATGTACACGTATGTATAACGTAACACCATCATCTTTCCTTGCCGAATATAAAAATGTAGCACGTGCATTCTTGTGAATTACAGTATATTAACACTGTCACAGCAGGGACACATATAATTACCGTATCTCTAAAACTTGAACTAATATTGAAAAAATAAGTTTCATTCCGGTTTTAGCACATTAAAAATAGTAATATTTTGTTGATTTTATTTAGGACATTTTTTGGCTGTTGATCAGTGTTATTGTACTAATTTCGTAAAAGTAGTTAGTTGGGATGGTAAGTAGGTTCCTTGTCGGAATGATTCACCTTCGATCTCAATATTTCCTCATATCGACTGTCGGCGACCGACTGAATCTCTTGCGCTGATATGTCAAAGGGATTTGTTCGTCTGAGCGTTTCTCTATAATACTTTCATATACAGTCCTGCTACAACAATCAGGGCACTTGTTCATATCTCATGGTACGATCAGGCCGTGTATTTTTGACAAATTAAAGACAATACAAATAGTGGTGTTACATTTGTTCATGGCTTTCAAAACGCTAAGTATTTCTCAGGACGCGAATGCCTACCCGGCTCTTCACTCTAACTTTGTGAGACTTGGCTACGAGAATAATAAAAATAAAATCTATTTATCAGAATATAAATGTACATTGTGAAGCGTACAAAAGATATACGTTAACTAAATCTATGAATATGTTAGAAAAAGATGATACTATGAAATTAAACTGCAGTCGAAGGAAAACAAAATACAGTAAGATAAAGAGCCGTATTCATAAAAGAGAAGCATATCCCCGGAAGCATACGGTAAAAGTATAAGGTCTTGCTTCGGAGAAAAGGGTAGAAGTATAAGCATATCCTTGTGTTCATATTCATAATGATTACCTTATACTCGCGAGGATATCCTCCAAGAAGAAGTAAAAGGTTGACTGGTATTTGTATCTTGAGCGACATGTCGTCACTTGTTCCAGCTTGTAGTTGACGTGGGAGTTCGTTCTCTCAGCATCACTGACAGATGTACTCCAGAGCTTACCCAGACCGTAATTATATTGTTTTGCCTTACATCAAAGAACTAACACCAAAATTGAGCAGGCTGTATAATTCCTTTAATTGTAGTTTTGCTTGTAAATCAGTGCTCACAGTCAACAGTTTGTTGTCCAAAATGAAGGATAAGGTTCAGTTGCTTGATGAAAAGTGACGCCAGATTACATCCAGAGAGATGTGCTTTGGCATCGCATATTAACAACACAGGTCACTCCATGAATTATGGCAGTGTTGAGGTTCTTGATAAAGGAAAAAGACTCTCGAAACGTTTATTTTTAGAAATGTCCCACATTTTCATGACAGATCATTGCATGAATAAAAAGGCTGATGTCAAGCAGCTCAACGTCATTTATTCCTACCTGTTAAATTGCGAAAAGCTAGAACGTCTACATATCCAAATTGAACCAACATCTTCACAAAATTAGAATATTTTTTCTCACTCACATTTTTAATATAAACTCACAAAATCCATCTTTTCAAGGTTGTATCAATATCAGACATTCTTACACTCATATGAGCTACACAAAAAAAAATTCCAAGACAAGTTAATTCAGCATTTTAGTAATTTTGGGTGGAGGTTTACCGAGCGTCCCTCGTATACTTCATACCCAAAACTGGACAGAGAGGGCTACATTTCCACGGTCCGTCGCGTCAATCACTTGTCATCTGTCGACGCTTTATCTTTCCGTGCCGTCCCCATCTCCACGTGTTGCGAGTACAGAAGGTTAGAATCTGCATTCCGATTGTTTCAACAAAATGTCGTCTCACATGTAATATTTTTAACTTGTTCGGGTGGATTGATATTTTTAACATTTAACGAAGGTATCTGTCGTTTTACAACAAACCCAATGTCCCCGTCCTTTTGTTTTTATACTGATTATAATTTCGATCTTCTCTACGTTCGTTCTGAAACACCTTGTGGCTGCAACCTCACCGACGAGTAAGTTGTCTGACAATTTAAATCTGTCCTGTTTTCTTTGCTAGCATCACAATTGTGTTTTCAGAATCCTGATGAAGGCTCCATAGAGAATGCCGTAAGCTTGATTTTATCGTCAAAAGAGTCAACTTAAGCCTAAGAGTTTTGCCAATTTTCTCAATTAACAATTAATTGTATTTTATATATATATATATATATATATAAACCAAGATCACTTATTAAAGATAAACCCTAGTAAATCGACGGCTATATTGTTTTGTAGTGATTCTTGCAGAAACGTATTAGAAAATAATATTAAGCTCAACTATGGGACAATAAAATATCATTTAGGGATTCCGTGAAGGATTTGGGCTTAGTGGTTGAATCTAAGCTTAAGTTTAGAGAGCACATTACTCTGTGCCTAAGAAAAGCATATTCAATGTTAAAAATAATTTACCCCATAGACAGTACTATCACGCTGCGAAGCTTTAGTGTTGTCCCACTTCAACTTTGCTGATATGGTATATCGCCCATTTCTTAATAGTGTGGAACTAAAACGGGTTCAGAAAGCTCAGAATTCTTGTCTGAGGCTGATATTTGGCATAAGGGGTAGACAAAGAGTCCTGAACTGGGATGGTTGAATATGGCTCAGAGGCGTACCTTGCACTCTACTTCCTTTTTTTACAAGATTATAAAATATAAAAGCACTCCTTATCTTCACTTAAAAATTAGTTACCGGACTTATGTACATAATCTAAACATTCGAAGATTGAATTTGATTACAATACCATCACACAATAAAGAATCATTTAAGAAATCATTCTCATATCAAATTGCCTTTTTGGTAAATAAATTCAAAATTAAATATTTTTCTCTCTCGGTAGCTTCATTTAAGAGGAACCTTAAAAGTGATTTACTGTCCAGGATATCATAGAAAACAAATCTCCTGCTCCCCCTTTTCTCTTCTTCTCTTTCCCCTAGCTTTCTCTTCTCACTCTAAATTTCCATTTCTCTACTTACTATACTTCGCTATATTTCTTAAGTTTAAAACATTATTAATTATCAATGACTTAATAGCCATTTGTCTTACTATAGAGTTGATTAAATTTGTTTGTTTTTTTTTGGCTCTAGCAGCTGCTTCTTTAAGGGGCAAGCTGATGTAGCCCTTTACCCTCTTAATGCTTTTTTTTGTTTGTAAACTTTGTATATACTGTTTAATGAGGATAATAAATATTATTATTATTAATACTATTATTATTATTATATTCGGGAATAATTTTCTCACGCAGCAAATATAACTGATTTGTGACACATGCAGTCCAATACACATCCAGACGCGATCTTGCTATTCGACCAACTTTCTTTCTTTATCTTCTCAGAGATGAAAACTACAGACTACTTGACTTCACAAAACAAATGCAACCAACAATGTGTGTAGTTGAGTCATTTCTCCACAAATGGACGCTTACAGCGGTAATAGCGATCAAACGTGAAATTAACTGTTTGTCTGCAATATGACATTTTATTGTTTTTTGACATTTTATAGGTTTTTTACATAACACCGTACCGTTTTGTTAATTTCGACACTGACGTAATAAGGCCGATATTCAAATCAGAGTCAGATCCAGAATCGTGCAAGAATGAAATATTAGGAATTTTCTTTTTATTCTCGAAAATTGCTTCAATTCTAAGATTTTCTAGGCGCCCAAATCAAATATACTCTTATTATGTTAACGTTCTATTTGACAGACATCAGAAGGTAGATATTCACAATCATCCAGTTCTCACGTTTTATCTAATTTTAACAAGCATCGATTCATTATTACAACTCAACCGAAGTGAGAACCTATAAGAAACAGAAGCACAACCCTTATTCTAGCACTTCTATCTTATGACATAACCCACACTTTTCAATAACCAGTTTCCGGCCAGAAGTTTTGGTAATAGTCGAACATCAGCTTCGTCTGCGGCCAGAAAATTGCCCGCTTCAGTTGGCCCACTTCAACATTTGTACTAAAATATGCCTTTATAAACTAAACATGACGAAACTATTTACTTCTAAAACAATTTATATTCTCAAAAACATTTTAGATACACTCTAGTCGTAAAAAATACATATTTGAAATCACTCAGACCTATAACATAGAACATCTGAACAAATAAACAATGTTCGAATAAATGCGCGAAGTTAACAAGGCAACAATTGGAAGATTACCTTTGGGTAACATCACCTTTATTTTTTATCACGGCTGAAATTCTTTGGAGCATAGTGTTAACCAAGTTTTGGCAAAAATTTTGTGTGAAACAGTCCCATATTTCTTGAAGCTTTTGTCTCAGATCGGTAATTGTACGAGCAGCATATTGTCGTAGAACCTTTTTCATCTCGTGCCACAAAGTTACAATAGATGACAGATCTGGACTGCTAGAAATCCATTTCAAAAGTGGTACATTATTTTCTTCCATCCATTTTATAGTCTTTTTTGAGGTATGGCACGCTGCACCATCTTGTTGAAACACAAACTCTTGGCCGGATGTCAAACATTCTTCCATCACTGGTAAAAGCGATTCTTCTAAAATTGCCTAATATTTGTTTGTATCCACATTTCCATCAATAAAATGAAGTTTTCCTACTCCTTTTGATGACATACTGCCCCATATCATAATTGATGCTGAAAATTTCACTTTTCTCTTCAGACAGTCAACATGGAATTCTTCTTCGAATTGGGCCTTATCACTCCATTGTATTGCACACCATTGTTGAGGTGTTCATTGTCTATGTTCTTTAGCCCATCTAAGCCGATTTTTCTTTTGCAGTGGAGTTAATAGTGGCTTTTCTTTGGCCTATAAACAAGTTTTGCAGCTTTAGGGTTTTTATTTCACTTTTTTTATAAGAAAACTTACCTTGCAAGTGCTAAATCCCAGTTTGTGGGCCTCTCTATGAGTTATGGACCTCGAAATTCTCCTTCCAACAGCGTCACTCCACAGAGCACTTAATTGTAAATAATTGGCACGCCTGCGTTTCATGCTCTTCGGTCGGCATTTGTGATATTACTTTTTTTCACATATCGTGGCTTAATATTAACTGAACCAGTTACGTTATATCTTCTAACAATATTTCTCACGCTGTACCGCGATAAGTCTAACAAAGTTGCAATTTCTGAGTTTGATCTCCCAGAATTAAAAAATTTAATTATCAGTAACCGAATTTTCTCACTAACAACCTTTCCTCTACCCAATGTGAAAACCTTAACTACCCAAAACGTATTCTGACAGCTGTGATTAATAAAACAGTTGTCATGGCTTTCATTTTTCACAGCCACCTATGCATTGAAATGAAAATAGGTTGATATGCTGTAATTGCAACATGTGTTACTTTTATGCTGCAAATTTGATTAGGGAGTGATAAAGTTGGTGTTTTCTACTATATATTATCAAAATATTCATTGTTAATATTTTAAACCTATAACACCCTGCTACATTTTTATTATTTGTAATTGATAAGAAAACAACTAAGATTTCAATAGTTGGGCCAACTGAAGTGGGAAGGGGCTCGTACATTTAATTGAATTCAAAACTTTTGCTATATTCTCTCATGTACCAGACTGACATGTACCAAAGACGTGATGCAAGAATCCTGCATAATATATGCATTTCACAGCCGTCCCAGTACTAACAGCTAAGCGCGTCCATAAATCGATCAAATCCAAGCGTGTTTCTTTTCCCTTTTTCCCTGTAGGTCAACGTCAGTCGGATCGAATCTATCTCTTCGCGCTTGTGAGCAGAATAAAAGATATAATCAAGCTAATACCTCCGTTACCCTCACCGCATGTATCCATCACCAGAGGAGTAGCAAAAGGGGGATAGAGGAAAAGAGGTATTGAGGTAAGAATGTAGATGTGCACCATAAATTTTGTGACACGGAATGGGGTACAGGTATTGGAACAGATGTAGAGAAAATACTGGGGTGGAGTCTTTGACTAAAGGGAGGCTATAACAAACACTTTTTGATTTGGAAAGGATCAATTATTCTACAGCCCCAGTACGAAATTCTTG